GAATATTTATTATTTGAAACGTAGCAAAGGACAATTATTATCACAAAAATTACCAATAACATTTGTTGCATTGTAGATAAAATTGTTTCCATCTTTACTAGTTAACGCATTGCTCCCTTCACCATTTCCTTCATTAATTACTTCATCAGTCACTTCATCATTATCTTGTCTCTGTTTAACAAAAAGGATCATCAATATTATTATTTGGCAAGTCATTGAAAAATTCCCGAATTAACCTTTTTGTAAACCAATTATATTCATCTATTTAGATTTTTTTCTCTTTAACGTCCGCCAAACCGCAAGCAAAATCCATTGCCTTATACCCCGCAATCATTTCCAAAATGATTTGATTTATGGTATATTAGAACTTTAACTATTTTCTTTTCAATTCAATAACTGACGAATTCCTGCTTTTTAATTTAGGCATCTACACATGACTCAGTGATAGCAAGTGACCTAAATGACAAATGACTAGTCATTTGAAGTTAATTTGAAGTCAAATGACAAATGACCTAGTCATTCTGGCTAACATTAATGACAAATGACCAGGCCATTTAAAGGTCTTTTCAAAATAGTCAAATGACCCGGTCATTTGCTATCATTTGCCAAGGATTAAATCGGTTGTTCATCGCGTGTGGAAACGGACTATTTCCGTACGTATTAAGAAAAAAACCTCTTTCGCTTACAACTTCGGAAATAATAACATTTCTAGGGAGTTTTTCTTCAAGGTGCTCATTAAGTATATTTTCTTGTTGTTCCACGAAACTTTCGGCGTGCTAGACCAGTTAAAAGCGGGAAATTCCGATTTTTGGCAAATTCCCCCAATATTTCAAAGACTGAATGGTAAATCCGGATTGCGTAGAAAATTGAGCCGAAGTAACTGTTGAATACGATACTATCTCGACCTTAAATCTTCGATTTCTTGTCGCATAAAGTAATGACCTCCCTTCTCTCTTTTTTTAATTTCCTTCCGCAATAACTTGATAACCTCGGTGACAGGAAATGAAATCTGGGAACCTTTTGCAGAAAACAACAATTGAATGGCAAGAAACATTGGCAATAGATTAAAAAGATTTGATATATTATTAAAGATGGGAATGACTATCAAAAGTTAAGCCAAGATGCGTTCACTGCGTTTATTACGACTCACTTACCGGTGGCAACGATTGACTCTACGATAACGTGAATGCGTTTTTTTGGGCTGGTTTGATGATAGGAAGCAGGAAAAAAAGCACAAGATTAAGTGAGTATTCGGTAATGTTGGTAAACATGACAGAAAAAGACGAAAAAATGAGACATTTACCGACAGCAGGTATATTCTCTTTTTCGTTGTTCTTATTACTCTTCCTGGACTTCTTTAACATGCAAAGAGAGATACATAGCCGATTTTTCCTCCAGAATCAGCAGACCTATCTCATAACAAGATATGCACGACACGGCACTAACTTGACTGGACGGTTTTTCCCATGCACGAGGGAACGGGACGTAACATACTCACTATGCTCGTTAACATTTTCACATTCCTAAGAACATGTAAAAGCACTACTCAAGTCATTGTGAAATTTACATTCCGAAGCTTTTGGATATTTTTGGGAAAAAAAAGATCCCATGTCTTTACCTCCCATTGCGTATGGTCCTCCAGTACTCTGAAATAGTGTATAAAAACGTTAGGGTATTTAAGCATTAATAATAAGTGACAAATATACGCTTACCACTATAGAAAACTTTGTTTGACAAAAAAAAATAACAGAAGGAAACGATTAAACTTTACAAACGCGTAAAAAGCGTGTTTTTATATGGGCCGAGTCCATTTACTACGTATTATATATATTATATGGATGTATGTCATGTGACTACACATACTGCTCTAAAATTAATTTGATCTGCGAAGTCACGTCATTGACGAAAAATTTCGAATACAAAATTTTTTGAAATAATGAATCCACCGAACGCATTATCATTATCACTTTATCGTCAAATACTTCGTTATCTTCGTTCTTCTTCATTTCCTTTTAAATATCTCCGTCCAAAAATTCATTACAATGTTCGTGAAATGTTTGAAATATATCGTAATGAGAGAGATGATGATAAAATAAAAATGCTATTAAGACGGGGATGTCAAGATATAAATTTTTTAAAGTCTTGGAAGATTGTGGAAAAAGAAATACGAGATGATATCTTTAGAGGATTTCACAGTTAATTCAATAATAATAATAATAAAAAACTTGTTGAATTTATATATATGAAGTTTAAATTTATTCATTGTTCTTTTTAATCTGTATATAATAAAGCTCAGCTTTTTTCCTTTTTTTTTTTTTTTTTTGATTTTAAAGATACAAAAAATTCTAAGCACTTTTAATTTTTTTTTTTTTTTTTTGGTGCTGCAACTTCGAAAGACGACCTTTTGACATTTAAGCCTAGCTAATACCAAAGTATTTACTAGATATCAACTTCATGGTGACGTGCCAGGTCAAACAATCTAAGGTATTTCCCTATTTTTCAAGTTATCCACCATGTCGAACGCATCCCCCTCGATGTACTTATCTAAGCATGACATCCTAACCTGGCAACTCGAACCTCTTGTTGTAATCCGCTATTAGGTACTTAACATCAAAGGTACTGTCAAATTTGGATAGATGGTTCATCTCAGCCATAGTGAACATATGTCATCGCTATTCTTACTATGATCTTAGTAAACTATAACCAGGATCCAATTACTTGGTTTGGCTTTATTATTACTATATAAAGAGCCGCAGGGTTCATGGGATAGTACCACAAGATTTGTCCAAACGGTGATCTCTAGTTTTGCGTATAGACCATGTCAACCATGACTTTGATACCCATAATGTCAAACAACTCAGGAATCGAACCTGACCTCTAATCCTAGTGACAGCTCAATTAAACAGTGCTGCGGGCGTGCAATGCAGTTTATTATCACTGTTGATCTAATCTACTAAGTTCTGATCAATCACTTCCTTAATTTATATACAATCTTA